GAGTCCAAATTTAGCATCTCCAATTTTTTAAACTCCAGACAATACGTACATTTTATTTTAATAAGTTAGATTTTAATTTTTATTTTTTTAATATTTTTTGTGTAATTTTTAATACTTTGATAATCTATTTTAGGATAAAATTTGAAAAACTAATAATAAATCATAGCAGAGTACAAATTCAGTGCTGCCAATTGTTTTAGACTCCAAACTGTATATCCTTTTTATTTTAATAAGCTAGATTGTAATTTTCTATATTTTTTTTNATGGTGATCCAGTAATATCCATGCCTTACAATTTTTCCTACCAAAGCCCATGCTCCAATATGGTTACCGCATACTCCCTCATGAACTTCTCTAAATATATAGTTTGCGTCTTCATCTCCCACACACTTGAGCAGAGGTGTTGAAAAACCTCGCTTATAGAGACTACCTTGTAAGATGGAGAATCTGACCGATCTCACCCTTAGTTTCACCGCCTCCTTAGGGTCTGCTGGAAGGGTTCCATTCTGCAGGTAGTCTCAGATGGGGTCCATCCAGCTTGTTAAATTCAGGGTTGAGAGCACCTCATCCTGAATTCCCACTGATGGTTCTACTAAGTGCTCCACTGGAATCAACCTATCCAAGTTCCCTTGAGAAGCTGTTGTTAACCTTGCTAGCACGTCTGCTCATGAATTTTCTGACCTGGGGACGTGTTTGAATTTAACTTGCACAAACTTCTTGATTAGCTCGTGCACCCTTATAAGATAAAGAGCCATTTTTCGCCTTTAGCCTCATAAGATCCCTCTATCTACTTTATCATAAGCTGTGAATCACTATAAACCTCAAGTTGTTCTGCTTCCATCGAGTGTGCAAGGTTGAGCCCTGCTATAACGGCCTCGTACTCTGCTTCATTGTTTGAAACTTTAAATCCAAACCTAAGAGCGTATTCAACGTCTGTCGCATCGAGGGAGGTCAAGATTAAGCCAGCACCACTGCCTTATGCGTTGGCAGCCCCATCTACTGAAAACCTCCATGTAGGGAGGTCAGAAACCAGTTGTACTGCTTCCATGGGTTGATCTGCTGCGAATTCTGCTATAAAATTCGCTAAGATTTGCCCCTTGATGGCTGCTCTTGATTTATATCTGATATCGAACTCACTGAACTCGATAGCCCACTTAACCAACCTTCTTGAGGACTCTAACTTGTGCAGCACTTGCTTCATCGACTAATCTATTGGAACCTCGATAGTATGAACTTGGAAGTATAGTCTGAGCCTTCTAGCAATTGTGACTAAAGCCAAGACAAATTTTTTCATCTTTGGGTATCTCTCTTCAACCCCCCTTAGAGCTCTGCTACAGTAATAAACTGGTTGTTGAACTCTGTCTCGATCCCTTACTAGTGTTGCACTGGTTGAGAAGTCTGAGAAATCTAAGTAAAGGGTAAGCACTTCCCCTTCTAAGGGGCTAACCAGAACTGAGGGAGTGCTCAGATAGTCCTTCAAGGCTCTGAACACTTCCTCACATCGGGTATCCCATTGAAATGTCTTCTTTAAGACTTGAAAAAACGGTTGGCATTTGTCGCTTGATTTGGATACAAAACGGCTTAGGGCTGCTATTCTTCCTGTTAAACGTTGAACTTCTCTAGTGTTGGAGGGCGGCTTCATATCCATTACTACTTTAACTTTAACTGAATTAGCTTCAATTCTCTTGCTACTGACTACGAAACTGAGGAACTTTTCCGCAGATACTCCGAAAACATATTTGGCAGAGTTAAGCTTCATTTTATATTCCTTAAGGACTTGAATGACTCTGCTAGGCACTCAACATGAAACTCTGTCTTTAATGATTTTACTAGCATATCATTGATGTATACTTCCATTGTCGTCCCAATCTGTTTCTGAAACATTCGATTTATCAAGCGTTGGTAAGTGGCTCCTGCATTCTTCAGTCTGAAAGGCATTACTTGATAGCAGTATGTTCCTTGCTCCGTCACAAATGAGGTCTTCTCTTGATCGTTGTGATCCATTCTGATTTGATTGTAACCGAAGAAGGCGTCCATGAAGCTCAGGAGCTCGTACCCTGTGATGGCATCTACGATCAAGTCTATCCAAGGTAAAGGAAAGATGTCCTTAGGGCAAGCACAATTGAGGTCGGTAAAGTCGATGCAGAGACGTCATTTTTCATTGGTATTCTTAACAAGGACCACGCCAGCTAACCAGGCGGGATAATCTACTTCTCTGATGGTTTTGGCATGCAAAAGCTTGTTTACTTCTTCATTGATGGCCTTTTGCCGCACGGGGGCAAAACTTCTTCTCTTCTGTTTAACGGGTTTACTAACTGGTTTCACACTGAGCTTGTGCAAGATGACTAAAGGGTCGATTCCCGTCATATCTTCTTGCTTCCAGGCAAACACTCCTATATTCTACTTCAAGAATTAGATGAGAAGGTCTTTAATTTCTCTACTTAGCTTATATCCTATGTAGACAAGATGTTCTGGTTCTTCGTCAAGCTGGACTGGTTCCAACTCTTCCGACGGTGTTGGTCTGGTGTCCAGCTCGTCCCTCATGTCGAGCTTATCCAGTTGAATATTTTCGATCTCCTTCCTTTTGACAAGCGTCATGCAGAATTCCCATGCCACATGTTGGTCTCCTCTAACCATACCAACCCCATTCTCCTTAGGAAACTTCATAACCAAGTGGTAAACTAAAGGTATAGCCCTCATTGCGTTGAGGGAAGGTCTCCCAAGCAACATGTTATACGCCGAAGGAGCATCAACTACCAAAAATTTTGCGGAAATGGAGGTCTGACAGGGAGGGTCCCCAATTGTGAGCATGAGCTGTATCGACCCCAGTGGTAGTATCCTTTCTCCTGAGAATCTCAACAGGTGAGTAGTTACTAACTCGAGCTTTTCTCTGCCTATCTCCATCTTATCAAACGCTGGCGCAAAGATGATGTCTACAGAGCTCCCGTTGTCAATTAGTACTCGATGAACAATTCTGTTGGCAACAACCGCTCTTACTACTAAGGAATCATCATGGGAATACTGGCAGCCTTCCAGATTTGAGTCTAAGAAAGTGATGGGTATGTCCAAACGTGGAGTCTTGGATACAGTATGTACTTCCAGTGTTTCATCAGCTCTGATTCTTCGCAAGTGTGTTTTCCTAGCTTAGTTGGATTCTGCTCCTCCTGCAAATCCTCCTGATATTACTCTGATTTTTCCTAGGGGTTGTTGATGCTACATAAGGGCTTGTTGCTGAGGTACTGGGGGCGATTGAGCTCTGTTCTGATTATCATGGGCCATAAAGCAACGCAACTGTCCCCTTTGGATCAAGAACTCAATCTCTTTCTTCAGCTCAATGCAGTTATCAGTATGGTGATTGTGGTCTCTGTGATACTCATAATATTTTACAGGATCCCTCTTTGTTGGATTTGCCTTCATTCGAGGAGGCCATCTTAAGAACTTTTTGGTCTGCACCTCATACAAGATCTGGGACACTGTGGCAGTGAGTGGAGTATACTGCTGAGGTGCATACCTCGGCTACAACTCAGGCTGTTGGGGACCCAAACGATCCCTGACATTTCCCCTCTTTTTTGGGGAACGATCTCTATCTCTCCTGGGAGATCTGTCTCTTCTTGGAGACCTGTTTCTTTCCCTTTCTCTCCTAGGACTTCGATCCCTTTTCTTTTCCTTTCTACGAAGACGAGCTCCCTACCTTTGAGAGTAGAGCTTCTTCGCCGTTTATATACTTCTCTACTTTAGCCAACACCTCAACCATGCTTACTTAAGGATTTTTAGATATGAAGAACATCAAGTCCTTTGACTGTACTCCATATTCTGCTATGAAAGCAGTAATTGCAAATTTCTCGTCTGAGACGTCTACCTTTAGGGATTCCGAGTTAAACCTTTGAACATAAAACCTTAGGTTTTCTTGAGATCCCTGCTTCATATTTAGCAAATGGTAGCCCAGCTTTCTGTATGTCCGAGCTCCAATGAAATGAGATACAAAGGATATCGAGAGTCCTTTAAACGAGAAGATCAAGGCTGGGGGAAGCCGGTTAAACCATGCTAAGGCTGATCCTTTCAAGGTTATGGCAAAGGCGCGACAACGAACAGGATCTTGATATCCATGCAACTCCATCTAGTTTTTATAAGTATTCAAGTGGTCCATAGGGTCTCTGATTTCATCAAAAGCTTCTACCTGTGGCATTCTGAATTTCGGCGGGAGGGAGAAATGCAATACCCTAGGAGTAAACAGGGACTCGATTTGCTGCATCAAGGCATCCATGGTTATTGGGGTTTTACTCCTCATGGCCTCCTTCATGTGGCTGAGCTCCTATTGAATATCTTTAAAGCGCTGCTCTCAATATTGATCTTTTCTCTCCTGCTAGACTGGGCGAATGTTATTCTATTCAATCTCATTACTTCAACTCTGCACTTCTTCATTGTCTCCATTCCTCAGAGGAGGTTGGGGAGTGTGGCTATTTTCTCCTCCTTCATTGGCTTCCCTGAATGGGTCGAGAGGTCACTGTTCCCTAGGGATCATTCTGGCCTCCTTGGGCTAGTTGCTTTTCTTGCAGTTGCTGTAAAAGCTTCAATAATTCTTTATTCTGCTTTAGCAGGCGTTGATTGACCAGGCGGAGGGCTTCCAGCTCGTTGTTCGTGGGAGGATCCACCATAGGAGGATTAGCATCGACAGTAGGGAAGAAATCTTATGGACCTTCGTGTTGTCTGCTAGTATTCTCCGACTGGTGCTCCATCCGAGGGAGATTCACTTGGCTTCTGCTCATATTTCGGGTCGAGACCATCAGTTACTAAACGATCAGTGTACTTGTAACAAAAACAATCGTTCCCACAAACGGCGTCAAACCAATAGTGTAAATTAACGTGGATGAACATAAAATATGAATTATGCTTGGCAACTTAGATCTGAGCCACAAGGCTCGCGATGATCGTGAGAAGTTTTGTTGAGGGTTTGGAGGAATTTACACAATGAAGATATAATGGTTCACCAACTCAGTAGCTCGACTAATCCACTCTTTTAATGGAGGCTCTTGTTCTTTTCACTTTTATAATGAGGAATGGGGTTTACAGTATGCCTTTTACACCACTAGGGATTCTTGCCTCATCTTGGAGGCATGTTACAATATTTATAGTGCAATTTCAATTCCTAAGGATTCTTAGGCGTGATCTTAGCGGAGTCTTCTTTGATTTTTGGGGAGAGAATCTCAGTTGGTTGAGAGTTTTATGCCTGAACTCCAGCCCCGCTGTCATCTCGTGTTTCCTTATCCTCTCTGCTATTGACTTGTCTGGGGCGGATCTCCAGCTCGGGTCCATTGAGCCCTGCTTATCTGGTCAGACCTCCTGACCTGACTTCGGCTCCTGGGCTCATACTTAGCTGAAATTCCTTCTGGGTATCATCAAAACTATAGAGATATTAAAGCATAACCGGCAGTATAAAATTGAGATGCAACTAGAGCATAATTGTATAAAGCAACTTTATCAAGATATTAACTTCACTTGTACTGTGTGTGTGTGAGAGAGAGAGAGAGATCTACATTGGTATTTTGAGAAAGCTCATAAATGAATAAAAAGAAAAACTATGTAGCTATTAGAACTGGACACTAAGATACATCCACATAATAAAAAACAAAATACAAACCAGTCATAAAATTGTAAGTGTGAAATAGTCCATTGACAATTGTTGTCTTACCTTAACGTGGAACAGATGTGTGAAGAAACTCACCCAATCATGGTGCGTTTTCTACCTCTTTGTCGGACTGTAATAAGTTGTGAATAAATAGAAAAAGATTAACGCGAGAAGAATCAAATCTCAAAAACCAGAAAGCAAATGTAAGATGGGAGGATTGCACCTTGAGCTAGCTTGTTGAATGTTGATGACCACTGCTTCGAGGACTTCCTATATGCGGCAAGTATCCGATCCATCTATTCAAAAATGAAAAACCATAAGAGAATTAATTTCATCTCCATAAGGCTCTGTTTGAATCTTCAGGAAAAATTTTATTCACAAATGGCCGGTGTCTTAGAAAAAATACTTTCATAGAAATAGGTATTACACTGGCATTAACACTATTTTTAATGTGCATACATGCATGTGTGTAAGATGATAAGATGCTGATGATATAAAGCCACCATAGAACATGTAGCCCAATTGTAGTTTTTCCAATGTCACCACTCTGAAAACAACAATTTTCGTTCCACTCTTTGATCAGTCCCCCCCCCCTACTATTAGATCTTTGGCTTCACTTCTAATCTGCCTCTGCAATTTTCATCTGATACACAGACGTTTCAGCCTTATTGAGATCAACTTCACCAGCCCAAGGCTCCTCTAAGGGAAAAGTTTGAAGTTGCAAATGCCATAGGGTTTAGAAAATTTTTTGAAAATAAAATTGTAACACAATAACTGATGAGAAGATGCTCATCCACCATTTTGGCCATTTCTATTCGTATATAATGAAAAAAGATGGTCTACTGCCAAGGCTCCCGCAGCTGCAAGGTCTGGAGGGTCAGAAATACGTACTATATTCTTAAATAATACAATACAATTTTCTTTCTCAGAAAATAACATTTCTTTGAACAAACAAAAAGAAAAGGGGGGGGGGGAGAGAGAAAGAGAGAAACACTAATGCTCTGTTTAACTGCCAAGAAGACATGACAAAAGACCAAAACATTCCAATTTTCCATTTCTTTCCTCGATCTCACTAAAGATCAAGGGAACCGTAGAGAAAATAAGAATGAAGGAATAAGATTGACTATTCTCACCACATTTCCACATGAAGAATGCATGGAAAGCAAAGCTCATTCAAGAACATATAAATCAACTGCTTTATCTTCTGGAAGAGTCGATGTGAAGCTCAGACCGAAGTCAATAAGTACCTAAGCAAAATAGGAATGAAAAATATAGTAACATGGAATCTTTGTAAGAAAGAAAAGTGCTACAAGCCTACAACTGTCCCCACTCCCGTCTTCCACTCCATCTCCCAGCAAACCCCCCCACCCCCACCCCCCAAAAAATAAAACAAACAAATAAACAAAACAAAGGAAGATAAAAATAACTCCACTGGGAACATGTGAATGAAGAAAAAAAAATTAACAAAACATATTGGAATAAAATAAATTGAAATCAACACACCCACCAGCTGATTGGTACCACTCCGGATCAACATGTTTGATGTAGTCAAATCACCATGAATGAGGCCGCCATCATGTAGTCTGCCAATGGCATCACCGATCTGAGTTGCAATATCATCCATCCGCTCTTCAACAACACCATGTAATCCGAAATCAAGAAAATGGTCTTTGACGGAGGAACCCTCCACGTACTCAAATGTCAGGGTATGCAACACTGGGTCAACAGCATAAAGAACTGCAGTTGAAACCCCAAGTCGTCTAGCTTTTGTCATGCATCTAGCCTCCTCCTCCAGCATTAAAATTGAACAAAGTCAGTTTCAATTCAACTGAGTCATTGCTTAATTGGGATAAGGATCAGAAAGGTGATTCCAATTAGAAAACTAACCTCATTTAAGTGCTTGAGAGTAAGCTTCGAGTCCAAAGATGGATGTCTGTACTTCTTTGAAAAGCGTTCCTTAACTATAGACTTCCTTCCCACAAACATCGACTCAAAAACTCTCTAACCAAAGGACAAAAAAGGAGATATAACATAAAAAAAGTTGGACAAGTATGAACGCCCTATAAAGCTAAATAAATAACAGCAAAACCAGAGTACAAGATTATGCCATCTAAGAATTCTATTCGAGAACCCAAAAATAGATAAATAAATTAAGTGAAGCTCATCCTGTACAAAAGAGGTTTACCGACTATACACATTCCAACTAAATAACAAAAAAAAGGAAGAAGTAAGACTTTGCAGTTGTTGTCCACTAGAACGTCAATAAAATTAGTCCAAACAAGCTGTCAGGATTTTATAGGTTGTACAACAGAACTTAAAAAAAATGAAATTATAACTCACAGCTTCCGCGCCTTGCTTAATCAAGATTAACGAGCCTTCTTTTCCTTCTGGATTTATCTCCATAATGAAAGATTCAGTGATACTGCAGTTACCCCAAACTATATGCTATATCTGCTATAAGACAGACAGAACTATCACAGAGGGAAAAAAATTAATCCACAGAACACATATAGGAAGCTCCAACAAAGTGAACTGTTTTACCAGCTTCTTTAATTTTATACATACTGAAGGAGAATTCAACACCAATGATATGAATAAGCACTAATATCACCACAATAGAGTAAGGAAGACTCTAATCAGTGGAGTCAGGTCAAATGCACAGAAAAAAAAAGGGCCATTAATCAAGTTGGTCCCAATATATATTGTGCAAAACTCATCCAATAGCCTTAGCATGCCCTTTCAGTTAATGGGTCCGGAAGGGATTTAGCCAAAAAACACAAAATATTTTTGTTTGTAGCAATTAATTACCCAATAATTTCTGTATCCAACCTTTTCCTTCCCTGCGTCAGCGCGTGTGTGACTTTTTAGTTCATATAAAACCACCATGCGCATAATTATCATATAGAAAAACCCATATAAACAATTAAATTAGAAAGTATTTCAACAACATAATCCAATCTCCCCGGAACTGAAAGTAACACACAGAAATCGTACAAGTGATCGTGATGCAATGGACAGTACACTGGGAGAGAGAACAGTAAGAAAAAGTCTAAAAATGGGGGATTTGAGAGAACAAAGTTGGTTAGCAATTACCTATAGTAGTTGATCAGCGTCTTGGCGGCGCAAGATACAAAAGCACACCAGAACCGAAACTTTCCTGCTTTTGAAGAAGACGAAGAAGAAAATCAACTGCCCAGAAAAAAAAAACCACGAACTTTACACGGTTTTGCCCGAACCCGTATGCCAATGGGTTGGTTCATCCGAATGGACCAAAGCCCAACTGCGAACGACAATTGAAGCGGCGTCGTTTACGTAGTCAGTGCTTACAAGACTTTGACAACGTCATCTTGTAGATGGATCAGGACCAGCCAAGTAAATTATAGAGTCCAAATTGAGTGTAACCAATTTTTTTAGACCGCAGACATTATATACATTTATTTAATCAATTAGACTGTAATTTTCTACTTTTTGAGTAATTTTCAAGCAATTTTTAATTTTTAGATAATCCAATGTTTTTCATTTTAGAAAAGAATTAAAAAAATTAATAATAAATCATAAGAGAGTTTGAATTTAGCGTCGCCAATTTTTTTATACTCCAGACAATATGTACTTTTATTTTAATCAATTAGACTATAATTTTCTATTTTTTTAATAATTTTCGTCCAATTTTTAATTTTTTTATAATCAATTTTTTTTACTTTAGGAAATAATTGAAAATTTTATTAATAAATTATATGAGAGTTCGAATTCAGCGCCGCTAATTTGTTTAGACTCCAAACAATATGTAATGTTATTTTAATTAGTTAGATTGTAATTTTTAATTATTTTAATAATTTTTGTGTAATTTTTAATTTTTTGATAATTTTTGAATAATTGAAGATAAGGTAGAATAGTTAGCTAAAATGACCAGGATTCAAAATGAATTGAGGCAAGTGGAATTAGATTTGGATCGAGCCAACGATCAAGAATTATCGCTATGCGATAAGCTCAATCAATTTTATGCCAAAGTCCACTGTTAGGCCCTCAAAATCACATTTTTTTTTTATTTTAGAAAAGAATTTGAAAAACTAATAATAAATAATTGGAGAGTCCGAATTTAGCGCTAGAAATTTCTTTAGACTCGAGGCAATACGTACTTTTATTTTAATCAATTGGACTGCAATTTTTTATTTTTTAATAATTTTCGTATAATTTTTTATTTTTTCATGATACAATTTTTTACATTTTAGTAAATAATTAGAAAATTTAATAATAAATCACATGAGAGTTCAAATTCAGTGCCACCAATTTTTTTAGACTTCAGACAATACGTACTTTTATTTTAATTAGTTAGATTGTAATTTTCAATTATTTTAATAGTTTTTGTACAATTTTTAATTTTTTGATAATTTTTGAATAATTGAATATGACATATAATATGTGGTTGAAATGGCTCGGACTCAGAATGGATTGAGACAAATGGAATTTGATTCAAATCAGGCCAACGATCATGACTCATCGTTATGCGATGAGCACTGTCAGTTTTGTGCCGAATTCTATCGTTTAGGCCCTCAAAATCGCGTTTTTTTATTTTAGAAAAAAATTCAAAAAATTAATAATAAATTATAGGAGAGTCCGAATTTAGCGTTAGGAATTTTTATAGATTCCAGACATTACTTACTTTAATCAGTTAGACTACAATTTTCTAATTTTTAATAATTTTTGTGCAATTTTTAGTTTTATATAATCCATTCATTTTGGGAAAGAATAGGTAAAATTAATAATAAATTATACAAGAGTCTGAATTCAAAACCGTCAATTATTTTATTCTTCAGACAATATGTACTTTTATTTTAATCAGTTAGATTGTAATTTTTTATTATTTTTATAATTTTTGTG